CCCTGGATGTGTGCCCTCACTTGACTCAGAAATAATATCAATACATATTAGTTGTTCTTTGAGTGTCTCTTAGGTTGAAATTAGAATGTGTCATTTAGAATTGGATCGTTCCGATATTCAGCAGTGAGTAAGTCTGTTTAACTTGGAGGTAATCTCCTATGCTATTATCTTCGAAAGTATTTGAGTTTTAACATATCTTATTATATACAAGTTGGTTTACCTGTCTCTCTACTAGTCATATGGATTGGTAGATGTGAGTTACCTTTATCTGTACCTAAATTGAGTTTATCTGTACCTTGATGGAGTTTATCTCATACCTGTAGTAGAGTTTATCTCGTACCTTTACCTTGAGTTTATCTCGTACCTTGACTGAGTTTATCTCGTATCTTTACCTTGAGCGTATCTTTATCTTTACCTTAATTGAGTTTATCTCGTACCTTTACCTTAATTGGTTTATCTCATATCTTTACCTTAAATTAGTTACCTTTACCTGGATAAGTTTATTTCTTATCTATATCTTATGAATATATATCTTATCTTTATCCTGATTATAGAGTCCTAAAAATCTGTCCTTTACTGTTCTTGTCGTGAGTAAAGAATTGGACCACGTCAATAGTACAGTTTGGGTATTACAGTTAGGATCTCTTTTATCTTTCCTTCTACCAAGTGTATAGTTGGTAGAAGTGAGTTTTGTGCATATCCTCTACCATGAGTAGATCTGGACTTGCAATTATCTTTTACCTTTAGTGCATATCCTTTACTATGAGTTGGGATTGCAGTTATCTTACTTACCTTTTTTTTTTAGCATACCCTATACCATGAGTATAGTGGGCTTGCTAGTATCTAGGCTTACTTGTGCCTTTACCGATTGTGTGTTTTCCTACCGCTGCTAAAGCAAGTAGGTGTATTGAATTATCTTTTACCTTGAATTTTCAATATGATGTTGATATCCCGAACCATATATATGTTTAGGTTTGTAGTTTCAACTAGTCCTGAATAATTAGGCCCTCATTGAACTCTATGGTGACGAATAGAATCTGGTCGCTCTAGTGTCAACGCTGGGTAAAGTTCATAGGACTTTGTTTGAATTTCGTTGTTATGAATGGTTCTTGGGAATATTTTGTTAGGGGTTGTTAATACACACTTATAATGTAGTTTTAACGATAGTTGTTTTTACTAATACTTGAGAATGTAGATAAGTAGTGTTAAAAGTTAACTTAATCTGTAAGGTTATAGAATTAAACTTAAAATGTATACCTTTTTCCTTAACCTTTGGTTTTTATTAAATTAAAATACACTATCTCATTAAAAAGGAAAAAAAAAAATGTATGACTTCGTCTCAGATTCTTCGTTCCATTTTTTTTTTATTTCGTCCTTGATGTTGTTCCAATTCCTGAGCAAATGGTTGACTGTTGAGGAAAATGTTTAATTTTAACGTATCAACGTTCATTGTTGATCCAGCGCTAGATCGTTCTGCCACAAAGAAGAAGAAGAAAAAAAAAAAAAAAAAAAAAAAAAGTTCCTTTTTTTTTTTTTTTTGCTGGAGATGAGGGAGAATGTAGCGTTTACGCTACTGATTAATCAAGTGTCCAATTTAAAATCGTGGTCACTAAACCCCTCAAGAAATTTCTTTTGACCCGCCAGCGTTCGATTTTACATCGACCTTTCTCTACTCACGCGCTGGAGTGGCTTTGAAAGTGGGGACCGATGGATTTTGCAAAGGTGCCGGCAGTTATGGTCAAAACTCAGACGTGATAATACGCCAGTCAATCCAAGTGACGGAATTGGAACAAATAAAAATAATCTAGGAAGAATAAAATAATATTCAATTAAGTAATAATAATATCTCAGTAAATGTATAAAAATAATTAATTTAAAAAAAAAGCAAAATGATTTAAGAGTTCCAATTAAAAAAGGAAGATTTTTTTGGCGTGTCACGTTCTCCAGTAAGTATATTATTTCATACTTATTACCTCTTTATCATCCACTAAAATTCATGGCAGTCATTGCAGTGTAGTATTTCCTAGAGATTTATTTTTAAGTTCCGAAATAATTTAAATATAAAATTTCCTTGATTTACTTGCCAAGAACAGAAGGTCATTTTTTTTATATATAGTCAAACTTAAATTCTGTTTTAGTCCACGTCGTTATCATTAAGTTTTTTGGTTCAATTTTTATTTAACTTTTTTTGGTGAAATATAATAGGTCCTACAATTATTGGACAGCCTTCTATATTTTTGCGCATGTTCATTTCCTGTCATGCCATGGAAATAACTTCATGAATTTTGACATGATGTTGACCTAACCTAATGTTTAATGTTGTGCTTTGGTAAAGTTGAATCCATGCTGCTACAGCTATTGAATCACATTTATTAAACTAATTAATCCTTTTAGATTCCGTCACTTAAATATTCAATATAAAATATATATATACACTTCAAAGTATGGTTAGCAGGTTGCTTATGTGAATCCGTGGATTTTGCAGTAACCCCAAAATATGGGACTTGTCACCATGATGAACTAGTTTTGATGTGCCCAGCTGAGTTTGGAGGGACCTATTGTTATTAAAGATAAGTTGTTGTGACCATTTGCTATTGTATATTTAATTCACTGTGAGCTATTCATATGCATATGAGTGGTTAATATCTTTGATAATTTAATTAATATAAAATATTCGGGGAGGAAAAAGGACATTTTTTATAGGTTATTAGGTTAACTAAAGAATTTAGTGAGTCTGACCATAACTCATTTTCTTGGATTTCATGTTATAATACAATACATACTTTGATGTAATAATATTAAAATATTTTGGGGAGGGAAATAAATTTTATGTGGACTTTAAAATAAATAGATAAGGAGTATTGAAAACTCACTTTTAAGATAATTGTAACAGAGTTATCACTGTTGATACCTGTACAATACGTTGATTAGTTTATCAGTTTAGTAGAACTATTTAAATTTAGATTACTAACTTTAGTGTTAAGACTTCGGCTACCCTAACGGACTATTCTTGTTGATACTAATATTTACCTTTTATTTGGCCAGTGGTAGTGACTATTTGCTTGTGGAGGGGCTATTAGGTCCCATTTTATCTTTATACCCACTACCACTGTATATTTAGCTTTGCATTATATGTAAATTGGTTATACACATGTATCTATATACATTCTTTTTATAAATATATTTGTTGTTACTATTTTGAGTTTTATTTCAGTTCTACTAACCAGTATATAACATAGCAAAACAAGATTATTATTTAGTTTTTTTGTATTTCAGGTTACTATCTCCAGATTTATTTGTTACTTCAAAATCTCAACTATCGTTGAGTTGGCGCCCTTCTTTTCTCTTCTTAGTGTTCTCTTTCTATAAATTTATTCCCAGTGACCTTCTTTAGTTATATCACGTTTGACATTGTCAGGTCTCATTTCGTTTCTTGTCTCATTAGCTCATTATCCTTGTTATCTGTTGTATCTTTAAAGCCGCAATCCAGTGCATCGAAGCTAGCCCGAACACTCACTTGAGATTTAGTGTCTCTTTGGCCGTTTAACTTTGTTCCTCTGAGCTTAGCCATATTTTTAATATTTTCCTTCCTTCTCTTTCAGTTCTTCTGAACTTTGTCAATTCACATATTTTATTCGTTTCACCAGACGGTAGAAGATCATTAAACCGTCCTAGAAAAAGATGGAAATTATGTTGAGCTGATTTACCTAGGTTCGCGGTACAAGAATAGGAAATGGAAGCGCAAGATCGTAGAGGATAGAGGGCTATAATGAATGCGCTGAAGACTCATCCAGAGTTGTAAAAGCCAATCAAGAAGAAAATTAAAAAGTTTACTATCGAAAACCTATAAAGGCTGAATTTTTAGATCTCGAATCCGTTTATATTGAGAGATATGTCTAATAAATCACTCATCATAAGAGATGAGACTTGATATAAATATATCAGTTAAACTTTAAAACAATTAGCTTAAAATAATCTATGACAAAAATGCTGGTGATGAGTCTATATATCTGAGGTGATCAGTTTATGGGTCTCCAAAGGATGCTGGTGATCAGTTTGCTATATCTCGGAGGATCTAATCATTTTTTGGTTGGTTATGAAGTGATGAATTCGTACACATCTATATAAAACTGTGCTTTACGAATTTTATAGCGGCTTCCCACGGTCGGCGATATTGCGGACGTAAGCGGACCAGCACGCACCACGCACCGTGGGAAGGGTCTTGTCCGTGGTAGCTCAGGCACGTCCGTGCTGGTGCGTCCTATCCATCTAGAGTCGGTAACATCAAAGGTGCGGTATATGCTCGTGCGACGCGATCCTAGCGCGTCTGTGTTTTAACAGACGACAAGTGCAAGTCATAAGTTTTTCATTCGCTGACACGAGTAGTTGTCTGTAGTGTTGTCAAATTTGTTTTGCAGTTTTTTGCTGAAAAATGGAACGGAGAAACGAAGTTGTTTTTAATTTTTTAAATTTGTATCAAGATGAACGAAGTTTATGGAAATCCACGGCGCCAGAACATAAGAACCGGAACGATGCATACGATGCATGGAACCGAATAAAAAAATCAATTGAAGAATATTACTATTTCGATTAAAGAATTAAGAAAGAAGAGAGATAATTTAATGTCGACATACAAAAGGCAAAAAACAAAAGTTAGAGAATCGATGGAAACTGGTAGTGGGGCTGATGATGTTTAAAAGCCTGAGTGGCCTTTTTATGATATAATCGAACACTACTGTCACGGACCTACACAGACTGTCACGGACCGTAGGAAGAGCTCTGTCTGCGGTGCGTTGCCGTCCGTGCTGATCGGCAGTCCGCGATGATCTGTACAATTGCCGATCGTGGGAAGCCACTATTAGGTGAGCAATATATCCTAGAAGCATAACCATTATAATTATAAAAAAGCCGAGAATAGTATTATTATGTTTTAATAATTATCTTAAAATATAATAATTTATTATTATTATATTTTAATAAATTATAAGAAATATCTTTACCTGTTTTCTGGTTTGAGGTAACCCTCAATATTATTAAAACCAATTGTAATATCATCCACCTCTTTGTTATAACCGGGTACTTTGATTGATGTTATATATCCTCCATAGTTGATCACTTGGGCGCTTACATTATTCTTATTCTGCCATGTAAATCGTCTTACAGTTTGCGTTCTCCCTTTTCCATCGGTTATCTTTCCAAATGTATCCTCCGTGAGAATGACGTTTGCCATATTTTTTTTGTGTTGCCACCGGTATATTAAAAATAAACCTAGATGCTTGCTTGTGTGTTACTAAGCGGTCGAGTGCATTAAATAAAGTTAACAAAATGATTAGTGTAGATAGTGACTTATCTTTTGCGATAATTGTTAAATCATTTAAGCGTCTCAGTATCGTAAGAACTGTATCCTTAATTGTTTACTTTTTATTTTGCAGATAACATGTATGTAGATACTTTAAAAATCATTCTAATGATTCACAAGGAATCTAAGTTTCTGTATACCATATATCACAAAAATTTTTATTTAAAATCCTTTATAAAAGGTATATAATTTAAAAACCAATCGAGCTATATCACAAAACGTTTTCGGAATCCATATTCCATCATCAGTGTCTAGATGGACATATATTGTGCCACTAAATATGTGGCTAAAAACCCGTTAAAAATTGTTTGTTTAAATTTAGTTTACATTGTATGGTATTAAATATTATGATGTTAAAATTACCAGTGGATTTGGTAACATGGCGACGTATGACACCGCAAGAAGTTGCTGGACCTGAGACGATGTGTCTACGAGGACTTGATGAAAGCAACTTCATAACATCAATTAAAATTGCCATTGTAAAATTTAATAGTAATTACAAAATCCCTACAATAGTTTCGAAACACAATTCAGATTTCTGCTTATAATCTGGGCCTTCTAAAAATTGCAAGGCAAATAGACGTTGATAAAAGATGTTAAAAGAGACATGGGGAATCTAAAATTTGCATTCGACGACATGTCTTTTACAACTAAGCAGCAATCCTTAGCGAATTGTGCTTCTAGTACTCACACAGAGTATATCCGGAATAAAATGAAAAAGACAGCAAATATTTGATTTCACGCAAACAATCCCTATGTATCTGTTGATACGTATTTCGACCTAATAGGTCTCATCAGAACAGCTATTCATAGGAGTTCTCAACTCCTATGATTCATATTAAATTGGTTTAAAACTTTTCCAATTAAATTCTTCTGTAAACTTAATAAAAAATCACCTTCCTTTTCAATTTCAATACCCAGAGACACATTTTTATTTGAATTATTATTTAAATCTTTCATTTCAAATTCTGATGATAATTGCTCTTTTATGTTATTTACATCAATGACATTATTAGATATTATATATAAACAGGGATTTATGTACAATAGATCTTCTGAAATTTTTATCAAGTAAAAACAAATGCAACCGATCATACTAACACTTAGGGCTTTGTTTTAATCCAGATAAAGCTTTTCTGAGTTGACACACATAACCTTGCTTAACCTGTGAAAGTCCAGAAGATGGTTGCATATAAACAGGATCCTTCAATTCTCCATTTAGAAAAGGAGTCTTCACATCAATTTGATGAATTTCTGAACCTGTTTCAAGAGCTAATACCAACACTGCTCTCTTAAAGTTATCATTCTGGCCACTGGAGTGTAAATATCTTCATCTCGATCAAGTTTTTGTTTATAAACTCTTGCAACTAGTCGAGCTCTTTTGATAATCTTTCTTTCTGTGTAAATACCCACCTGGAGTCTATTATATTTACCTCATTAGGAGGAAACACCATCTCCCAAGTTTTATTTTTCTCTAGAACTGATAACTCTTCATTAACAGCTTCCAACCACTTTTTATCTTTTGGAACTTCAGATGGTAAAATTCCTGCTGAAAGTGCTGTCATGAAGCCATTCATATCCATATCATAGTCATTATAACTAATTGGCATCTTTCGCCCTCTATTACTTTTTCTTTCTCATCCTTTTTTTCTTTATTTCCATTTTTGTCATCATCTTTCTCTACATTTATTTCCTTTTCTTCAGTAAAAATTTGAGGAACTTGAGCTCAAGCCTTCGATCCAAATATTCGTATCTTTTCTAGATCTATTTTTTTATTAAACTAAATTTTTGCTGGAAGTTTACACCTTAGCACTGCAGTGGTTTTTAATGGAATAATTATATAATTTGCTGTTCGTACAGCTTCACTTGAACTTGAAAAACACCTCAATTCCTGTAAACTTAAAGAAAAAGGTGTATAACCCATGCTTACTACCAGTTTTACCTACGGCTTGGAGACAGTAGCCCTTACCAAAAAATCTGCTAAAAAATTAGAAACAACGCAAAGAGCCATGGAACGAATCATGCTTGGAATATCACTGAGAGACAAGATTAGAAACACCGAGATAAGACGTAGAACGAAGATTAGGGATATTGTGGAAGAAATTACAACAATGAAATGACGCTGGGCAGGTCACGTAGCCCGATATAATGAGAACAGGTGGACACGGAGAATTCTAGAATTTAGACCAACCAAAAAATAAAGGTGGCTAAAGAAAAATGGATGGAGGATAAATGCAAGGAATTAGAAAAGTTGAATGAAAAACATGATACGTTTAATATGTTTAAAAAAGTTAGAGAAGTAGCTGGTCTTTATAATAAGAAAACTCCACATACTATAACCGATTCGTCGGGAAAAATGATAATAGACGAACATGAAATTCGAACAACCTGGCGTAATTATATAAGTGAACTGTATAATGAAGATAGACCCGAAGAACCGAAGACTTTAGTTGAAGGTGAAGGGCCAGAAATACTAAAATCAGAAATACTGCATGCTATAAAGTTAGCAAAGAACAAGAAAGCCGTTGGCCCTGATAACATACCGACAGAGATGTTAAAGCTTATAAATGAGGAGAACATTGGAATACTGGTCAAACTTTTCAATGATGTTTATTCGACTGGTGATATCTCTGAAGATTGGTTAAAGTCCGAATTCATAACACTACCAAAAAAACAACGTCCGAAAAACTGTAGCGATTATAGAATGATAAGCCTTATGAGCCACACTTTGAAAATATTTCTACGCATCATCCACTAGTAGAATCAGAGATAAATGTGAAGAAGATCAGGATGAAACACAATTTGGCTTCAGAAATGGACTGGGAACTCGGGACGCCCTTTTTGCACTAAATGTATTACTGCAGAAATGTCGAGATCAAAGGAAAGACGTCTTTGCTATATTTATTGACTATGAAAAGGCCTTTAATCGAGTGCAGCATCACAAATTAATTACAATATTAAAAGATAAAGGAGTTGATAGTCAAGACATACGATTCATAGAAAAGTTATACTGGCGTCAAACAGCGAATGCTTCCATAAACGGAAAATCAACAGAAACAAGTAAAATACAAAGAGGTGTCAGACAGGGTTGTATACTATCTCCACTATTATTTAATTTATATTCAGATAGAATATTTAAAGAAGCGCTGCATAATTTGGAATGGGGCGTGAAAGTTAATGGAATTCTGATAAATACAATCAGATATGCAGACGATACAGTTATTTTAAGTGATGACATGAATGGATTACAATGCCTTTTAAATGACATTGATACAGTGGGAAGAGAGTTTGGCCTAACCATAAACTGTTCAAAAACAAAACACATGGTGTTTAGCCGTTTAGCACATCAAGATGCACGATTATATGTTGATGGTCATATAATTCAAAGAGTGTCCAGTTTTAAATATCTTGGTTGCCATATTACTGAACAACTAGATCCAGATCAAGAGATAAAATGTAGAATCGAGATAGCCCGCACGACATTTTTAAAAATGAGGTCATTCTTCTGTAATGATAACTTGAAACTTCAACTTCGAAAGCGTATGGTTAAATGCTACATTTGGTCAGTCCTCTTATACGGTGTCGAAGCATGGACATTAAAAATATCCACCATTAATCGTCTGGAGGCCTTTGAAATGTGGCTGCACAGACGTATACTAAAAATTCCATGGACGGCTATGCTGACAAATGTGGCAGTCCTTGAGAGAGCAAATGCTGCTCGCGAGCTGCTTGATAACATCAAATGCAGAAAGATGGCCTATTTTGGACACGTAATAAGAGGAGACCGATATAATAATCTTCAACTTATTATGATGAGTAAAATCGAAGGGTGCAGAGGAATTGGTAGAAAGTAGGCCTCTTGGTTGAAGAATATCAGAGAGTGAACAGGAATAAAGAAAGCTGAGCAACTTTTTAGAATAGCTCGAGACAGAGACAGTTTCGCCATGTTAATCGCCAACGTCAAGGGGACTTGATAGGGCACGTTAAGAAGAAGAAGACCAAGGACGACAACAAGAAGCATGGGAAGACCTCAAAAAAGATGGATAAATGACATAAGAGCAGTAGCAGGCAAACAGTGGATTAGATTGGCGCAAAATAGAGAAAGAAGGAAGCAATTGGGAGAGACCTACAGTCAGAAGTGGATGGAAAATGGTTGACAAAAAGTACAGCTTAATCCCATAAATTCTTAGGTAGTTCACTGTGAAAAAGTAAGCAACGGGTCATATTTAAAACAGTTCCGTTAAATCTCTCACTGACCCCATTTTGCTCAGGATTTCTAAGTACTGTAAATTCCATTTGAATATCTTAAGACTTGCAAAAATATATGTCCAGTTATGGTCAAATAACTGAGCCCATAGCCTGAAATGATTACTGGATTCGAAGCAGTAAAACAAACAATATTTCACTATTTATTGAGTACTTTTAATAATAAGAATCTTGATACATTACAATACAATAACGAACAACCTCAAGTGAACTCTACTGACTTGTTCTATAGTTACAATCTGATATGGCATATGTCACTTTTAAATCAAGCGGGAATTGTGGTATTTTAAATGTATTTTAATAATATTTGTCAAAAACTAACTACTTAACCCCCTCTGTGGCTCAGTGGTAAGAGCGCCTGCCTTTAAACCTAAAGGTCGTGAGTTCGAATCTCATCTGGGTGGAAATTTTCGTTTATTAAAAAATTAATAAATGAAAATAATTTCTATCCTTGTGTGATCGGTACACACCGGAGGGACCGCAGACGTTCGGATACAATTAGCGTCTCTTAGCAAAGACAATGACGTCGACTTTGCTAAGTATCAAGACAATTACTCTACACACACACACACACACACACACACACACACACACACACACACACACACACACACACACTACATCTCAAATTGTAAGATTAGCGAATGGATTTAGTGTCCGCAGTCATTTAAACACAAACAAACAACAACAACAACAACTAACTACTATTAATTGAATTAAAAATATTTGAGGCTACTTTTTGACTGGCAACCTATTATCAATGTATTCTACTAATATTAAATGTATGAAAAAATGTAAGTTATACAATGGATGATGTTGAAAATCCATACCATTGTAAGGAAAATTTAGATTATGATTTTGATTTTAAAGATATTAATAATTTATATTTTTATTATGTTTCGTGGTTATAAATTTTATTTACTATAAAAATGTGAAGTTGTCATTGTCAAGAAATAATATTTATTTATGGTCATTGTGATGTAAATGTCTAATGTATCCTAAAACAAATTAAACTGTTAAATTATGTGACGTGAATTATCAATTTATTTGTAAAAAAGTGACGTGACTTCAATTTGTATCAGTTAAGGTCATGCATTGCATAATTTGATACAAAAATAAATGTTAGTGATAACTGTTGGTGAAGCAACATGTTATCACACCCTCATTTAAGACTAACGAAGGCCAACAAAATACTAGTTAGTATAGGACTCTCGTGAACAACTATGGCGCGTCAATCGGTTACTTCTTCGGATGTTTCGCTTTCAGTGGAACCTTTCGACATTCTCAAAGATACAGAGAAAGGTTTTAACGAAATAAAGTGCTTTACTTGGAAAAATACGGCCGGGACCGAGATTAAGGTTATTAATTTTGGAGCTTGTATTACTTCTATTTGTGTGCCAGACAAATACAAAAAGTCCAGGGATATAGCGGTAGGATTTGACACTTTGGATGGGTATGTAAAACCCAACAATCCCTACTTCGGTGCTACGATTGGAAGGTTTGCTAACAGGATTGGGAAAGGTAAGTATTTTATTTAATCTGAATTCAGTCAATAATATGCTAATATTAGTATTCAGTCTTAGAAAAAGTGTTTATTTTTTATTATTAAATAAAAATTCTTCTTAAAATTTGTAGAAAAGTAACGTAACTACAGATAGCTTGATTTAATTTAAAAACTTTTTGAAAATATTTTTTGTAAAGCTATTAGAAAATGCAAACTTTGTAAAAGGTGATCAAAGAATTCAGATTGAAATAATCATCATCGTCATCTTCTTCTTCTCAGCCTTCTATCATCCATTTTTGGACATAGACCTCTTCCAACTCCTTACATCAATCTCTATTCTGAGCAACATCTCATCTGTGGTCTTCCTCTTGGTAGTCTATCTGTATAGGATCTCCAATGTTGTATTAGGGTCATTGTGGCAACAGTGGGTCACATTTTTTTTAAATCACATAGCTCTGAAATTATATGAGCTATAAAAGTTAAATTTTAATGATGAAAAGGTAGCTCCCTTGGCTACACATTGGTTAAATTCTTTTTTAAATTTGCTGGTTTTTGAAAAAAAAATTATTTAAAAAAAAAGTTTTTGACTCACTGTGTCCTTAGATGGGTATACAGTGGGTCAACCGCGAGGGCACATTGGATCAGGAGGATATTGGAGTAGAACAAGATAGGAAATTTCTAATATTTTTACTCTTTATTAAAAAAAAATAAATGCTTATTACAAATTATAACCTCCTTAGCTTTTAAATGTAAATTAATTATGTCTTATAAATGTTAACAAAACATAAAATCAACTCAAATAGCGTTCTACATGTCAACTAGCGGATATCGATTTGAGAAAAATCAACATTAAAATAATAGTAAGACTGTTGACGTAAGGTACTTCCTCCCAGACAAGGTTTAGGCAATATAAGTTTTACATCGTTCTCGTTAACATATGATACATCAGGATTACTTGGCATGTGAAACTGATATTTGGGATTTGAACGAAGGAAGCTTACATAATATTCAAATTTATGATTACGCTCACGCAAAACTATTCCTACAAAATAAACACTTTTCCGTTTAGTTGCAAAACGAACAAGAACGTAATCTTCTTTCTTTGGAAAGCGAGGCAAGTCATTGAGCAATAACTTTTCATCGGTTAGTATTTCGATTTTATTTCCAACTTCGTCTTCCACTTCTTCGTCCCAGCAGTCGGAGTCTTCATCATGAATAGAAATAGTGTCATCAGTGTCATCTTCTGATTCACTCTGCAATACTTTCCTCACAGCTTTTTTCTTTGGTTCATTTGTTTTGTTTTTCTTTGGTAATTTTTTTTTCTTGACTTCCGATCGTTGCATTCTAATATTTTCCTTCTCCGGTGTATCCGTCGCGATTATGCTCCGGCCAGGTTTTCTTTTTCTTTTGTTTGCCCTTGGCTGAGCTTTGTGGGGCTGCCTGAATTGACTGGGGCTTATAAAAGCACCTGATGATACCGGTGCATTTTTCGACTTTGAGCAGTGGTGCTTTGGTAAATGTTGCAATTGTTCATGCTCTAGCTCCAAGGGCTCTTGTTGTGAATCACGCTCAGGCTCTAAGTGGGCTTGGAGAAAAGTTGGAGAGTCTATTAATGTGTCAGGGAGTGTTTCATTTTCCAAAACCAAAGTACTGTTCTGCTCATTTTCTATGGTATCTTGCAAAGAAACGTCAAGTCTATTTTGGATGGTATTGGGATTGGGACGATTAGTCACAGTACTAGGTAAAAAGTCTTCTTCGGTAAACATGTCTCTATCGAAAGGATGGATTCCGGTCTTTTCAAAAGAATTTATAATATTTGTTGGAGTCATGGCCCTGGTGAATGCGATTCCTATCAGCTCAGCTAAATCGTAGATCGTCACAGGTTTTCCTGGATTTTTAAGCCGCTATGGAATCCAAGATTCCATAGCGGCGTTATAATAAGTTTTAAATGGGGAATAAATACCAACGTCTAAAGGCTGCAGCTTTGCTGACGTATGAGGGTGTAGTGTCAATATTGTTACACTGTTTTCTTTTGCTAAATCTAAAGCTTCAATGGATAAGTGTGACTCATGGTTGTCCATGATTAACAATGAAGGATTTTCTTTAGAGCTTGAGGTATGTTTAATAAAATGTTTCATTGTAGTAACAAATAGCTCGCTATTCATCCAACCAGAAGATGTAGCTAACCCTAATGATCCAGGGGGAGCACCTTTAAGCATGTGGTCCTTATAGTTTTTTCTGGGAAAAATCAGCACCGGAGGCAAAGCTTGACCACTTGCACTAATGAAGCAGCAAGTTGTTACAAGAGTGCCTTTCTCGCCGCTTGTCACTTTTCCAATATTCTTACCTTTAGGATCAATTACTTTTTGAGGTTTTTGTACCGTGGTTGTTGCCGTCTCATCGAGATTGTACACTCTAGTACCATGAGCAAATGAAGAACATCTTTTGTATACTTCTTGTAGATTATCGAAAAAGACTTTTACAGTATCCTTGTTGAACGCAGTTGCTCTAGCAAGACTGCAAGCTTCTGGTTTGCGTAAAGATAGTTCATTATGACGCTTGCGAAAAGATTTTAACCAATCAATACCTGCCATCTGATTTGAAATCCATGACTGTGGCATTTTTAATTTATTTATAACTGCCATTTCATATGCAACTTTTCTACAATCTTTTGTTGTTAAGCCGTAAAACATAAGAGCGCAATTATTGTAATATTCGGTAAGTGCTTGTTCTTGCTCATCCGTAAAAACTTTATTAATATCATAACGCGGCATAAGTTGCACATTTTCAATACTTGTTGATGCTTTAGCTTTAACTGCATAACGCTGTAGTGTTGAATATGGAATATCCTTTTCCTTTGCTACAACACGTATCTTTTTTCCCGATGCAATTTCTAGAAGAGCATCTTTCATGTTTTCTTTGGTATGGGTACCTATTTTCCTGCATAACGGGCGTTTCTTTGCCATTCTGTAAAATAAAAATATAATTATAGTAACCAATTTAGTAGCAGTGTGCACAGTGGGTCGATCCACTGTACCCACTTTAGAGATGACCCACTGTATACCACTGTCGCCATTTTAATTTTAGGATGCAATAATAAATGTTTACCACTGTGTGATAATCCTTAATGTAATGTCAAATGAGGCCTTAATAACTACTTACTGCATCAAAATTATAACTCAGAGAATAGGATTAATAGATACGGAATAAGAAAAGATCAAAACTTACGTATTTTTTTTACTTTTTCACTACCAACTCACAAATTGTTCTCCGTTACTTACACTACACTTCAGAGCGGCGCACTGACCGTCGTGGAATGGCTGATAGCCGAGGTCGAATCTACTATGAAAGAGACGCAACTATTGCTTTATTCTTTCTACCCAATAGGGCGTTGACTCAGTGTGCCCACTTGACCCACTGTTGCCACAATCACCCTATAGTGTTTCAACGTTGGTCTTTTTGTCTAGCAGTATGACCTGTGAAGCTTCATTTAAGTTTGGTAATTTTTGTTGTGATATCCTCGACATTTGTTTTTGATCTTACCCAGTCGTTTCTCTCTTTATCTTACAATCGTATACCATCGTAACATTGCTCTTTCCATTACCCTTTTTGTTGTGGCTAGTTTATTCATATTTGCCTTGGTTAGGGTCCAAGTTTGACATCCATATGTCATGATAGAAGGAAGGATTAAGCGATTCTTAAGTGTCTAACTCAACTTTCCAATTCCTGCTTAAGTGAGTCTTGCTCTTCTGGTGATTTTGGTTTTGGTTTTCTTTGTCAAGTTTCAGGATTTTACCTAGGTAGATATATTCTTGGACTTGTTCTATCTCATTGCGAGTTATACGTCTGTGATCATCTGTGATTGTCTGTGTTTGTAATTATTTTGGTTTTGTTATATTTATCTTTGGGCCGACTTTTTATATTTATTTGGCCAATACATCGGCCTAAAATTTACCTGTATACTCTTAGAAAAGACGCAGTATTGATTTGCCCTCTTTTACCTTCTTCCGTGGTTACTTAGGTTTCTTCTCACAGGTTGGGAGGAAATTCTGTCAGGAATCGCTCCTCGACCCGGTCGTGGCTAGTATCCCCAGGAGTTTGTCCGCTCTCTGGGACAACGCTAACGAAACATTTTTACCATTGTAGCATGTACCCTGTGGACACAATAATGTTACACTGCACTGTTTCCAACGCAGTAGTATTTGGAAAAATTTGGATATAATTTATTTAAACTGGTTCATATTTCCATAGGAATTTCTCTATTAACCATTGGAACGCGTCTTGCCGATGATAAGTTTTCCCCATCCAGTCTATCCTGCTAAATCGTATTAAGTATCTATGAAGGATCCGAAACGTCTTAGCCAAATGAAGCTGTCTGTTAACTTTAAATTAAATTAATAAACAGTAGTGCAATATTTCAGTTTTCTGTTTCTCATAAGCCATTTCTTTTTCAAGCAACCTAATCATACAATTTTTATGACATCTAACAAAATTTACAAATTCTTTGTATTAGTTCCATCATTGTTGTTTTTTACTAATAAACTTACACCATTCTTTTTGTAAAGAACTAAGGAAACTTTTAAAAAATAAAAAAGCGAAAGCGTGTTTCTCTAGGCATTAATATGGACTCATTGATAATTCTTTGCCTTAGCTCTGTAGCACTTACTGATTTAGTTTTATAAATTCTACTTTTCAAGTAATCCCAATAAAAATAATCTTTACGATTCAAATCGGGTGAACAAGGAGGCCATTCAATACTACCTAATCTACCAATCCATCGTCCGAGAAATGTCTTATTTAGAATAACGCCGAACATTTACACCAACATGAGCTGAATCTCTCTCTTGCTGAAACTATATCTCATTAAAATTATTTCCAAACATGTTTTTTAGGACATGTATAATTTCATTTCTAAGTAGCATTTCATAATTATCGATTGTTATATTTCCTTCTATAAAAAATGGTCTAATTAACCCACAATATCTGACCATACATTTACTTTTTGTGGTATTTGAGTCTGGTTTTTAGGTATCCAGTGTGGATTTACCTCACTCCAACACCTTGAATTTTGGCGATTTACATTCCCACGCAGTGTAAAATATCTTGTCAACAAAGTTCTTGTCAGTTGCAATTTTATTCATTATAACCTCACTAAACTACAATCGTAGTTAGCCTTCAAAAGGTCGTAGTCATCTTTATGTAATTCTTGCAACTGGATTTTGTAGAGTTTAAAAGAATTCTTATATATTACATGCAAGACTGAAGAATGACCTATATTATGTATGTATGCTGCTCTACATGAGGATGTATATGAATCTTCAACAAAATTCTGCTTTAAACCCGAACATTTATTTTAATTTATAACAGTTTTTGGTTTGCGTGTTCGAGTGACATTTTTTTCTCGTCTAGTTCTCTGAAAGTGCTTTACAATTTTTTTGTACCATCGCGTCTCCTTGGGGATACGAGAATGTTTTGGGAAAGTTTCATTGAAATAGTAGGTTGCTTCGCTATAAGACCTTTTTCTATTACCGTAGCTCCCCATCACTAAAATAGTAATTCGTTCATTTTCATTAAAAACTATCTTTATTGTAGACCTTTTAAAAACACATAAAACAACTACAAGCTTTAGTTATTTTACAAAACTTTCCAATAAACTTCAAGTTATTGTTACTTTTATAAACTAATGTTAAAATTATAGCATTCTATACTTACTGAATTACAAAACTATTTGGCACTGAGAAGTTTTATTTATTTAAGACCTTTGTGACTATGGGTTTTTGTAATTTAGTACTTACTTTTGGTCCACTCATATATATTTGCACTTTGAGTACAGTTGACAGTGTGTGACGATCCTCAAAGTTCTCTCTGGTACCTTCTCTACAGTTGCATATACCTCCGTCCTTAACTTTTTTTACGATATTTTATATTTTGTATAGGAAAAATGAAAATTGAAAACCAAGAGTACCAATTAGCTACGAATAATGGAGACAACCATTTACACGGAGGGATCAAAGGATTCGATAAGGTCGTCTGGGACTACTCCATTACTGGAAACCAACTCACTTTAAGTTATCTTTCGCCAGATCTAGAAGAAGGCTATCCTGGTTCTTTAGTGGTAAACGTAACGTTCGAGCTTACCGTCAGTAACATGTTTATTATAAACTACAAGGCGATGACTACAAAACCGACTGTTGTAAACCTAACAAACCATTCGTACTTTAACTTAGCAGGTAATGATGCTGGGGCTAAGGAGCTGTACGAGCATGTTGTTAAAATTAATGCTGACCATATTACGCCCGTTGATGATTCTCTTATACCTACAGGTAAGTACAGTAGAAGTAAATCATTAATTATATATGCATAGCGTTAAAAGGTCTTTTAGACCCATTGCTGGATGGATAATTTCCATCGTTTTATGTTCTTACCTGTCAGCTTCCAATCTATGATTTCCATCTCTCTGACATCTTTTATCTCTAAATCTATCCATTTCTTTCTTGGTCTTCCTCTCTTTTTGCTACCCTCAGCTACTTATATATATATATATATATATATATATATATATATATATATATATATATATATATATATATATATATATATATATATATATATATATATAAGCGAGGTTCCTACAGCCTCTGCCGTTTCTCGCATTTCGACCGCCATCGTTTTCTGTCCATCCATTCGTCTTCTCTGATGGCTCTATCTCTCATTATGTGCCGTACATTTTCTTCCCAGGCAACTGAAGGCCTTCCCCTTCTTCTTCTTTGTTGTGGTATGTAATTTAAAGCTTTCTTTGGCCATCTATCTTCATTCATTCGTTTCACGTGACCATACCACACTAGTTGTCTCGTTTCAATTCTATCTACACTGGAATATACAGTATTTGTCCTCCTTCTAATATCTTCATTCCTGATGTGATCTTTTTTGGATATACCACACGCTCTCCTTAGAAAATCCATTTCTACTACTTCTATTCTTTTTCTATCCTTCTGCGTTATCTGCCAAACCTCTGCCCCATAAGTCATAATAGGCTGTACCAAGGTTCGATAGATTGTCAATTTCGTTTCTTGTCTAATATCTTTAGACCAAAGTAGAGAGTTTAGAATGTTTACCACTTTTTTTCCCTGCTGTGTTCTGTTTTCGATGTCTCTTTTGGTAGTGCCTTCTTTAGATATTATAGATCCGAGATATTTATATTCATTGCATGTTTTTGTGTTTCTAATTTCTAACTCTGGATCTTCTTCACCATCTTCTATTTTAAGATACTCTGTCTTTGCCATATTCATATTGAGGCCCCATTTTTCATATTCTTTCTTTAGTTTTCTAAACATGTAGTCCATGTCTTCCTCGTCATTCGCTACGACTACCTGATCATCTGCGAAAAATAAAGCTGTTAGACATTCACCACCGCCTATGTCTATTCCCATTCCGGATACTTGTTTTCTCCACTGCTCTAGCGATGATTGAATATATATTTTAAACAGGGTCGGAGACAGACAACATCCTTGTTTAAGCCCCTTGGTTATTGGAAATGATTCAGATATAAAGTTTCCTTCTTTAACGACACTTCTTGCATTTTTGTATATATTTGCGATAGCATCCACATACTCTCTACTGAGACCTACTTTCGTCAATGTATAAAATAGTTTTTTCAAAGGTACCGTATCATATGCCTTCTCTAAATCTACAAACAATAGGTGGGTAGATAGATTCCTTGCCTTCCGTTTTTAGATTACCTGCTGCAGAACGAATATATTATCAATGCACGATCTTCCTGCCCGAAATCCATTTTGTTCCTCTATGTCTTCATATTCTGATTCAATTCGTTTTTTTATTATTCGACCGTACAACCTCCCAACTGAGCTAGTAACAGTTATTCCTCTATAATTAGAGCAATTGCGTTTATCCCCTTTTTTGTATATTGAGCTGATGTATCCAACATTCCAATCATCAGGGATATTTTGTCCTTTTAAGCATTTGTTAAATAGTTTAACCATCATCTCGTGTAATATTTTTGGTCCATACTTTACCAACTCAATTGGGATGTCTCCAGGTCCTGCTGCTTTACCGTTTTTCGATCTTTTGAGGCCATCGCTTAACTCTCCGGTTGTTATCTCAATTATTTGTGTATGTTCAGATATTTCTTCCATTTCGATATCTTGGAATTTACGTCTATCCTCTGTCAATAAGACCTCATAATGCTGTTTCCACTGTTTCAGATCTATTAATTTTAAGTTAGATTTTTCCTTTCCTTCCCTCCGGAGAGACTTTATCACCTTCCACGCTTGCCCAACTCTTGTTCCACCCATATACCTATCCACCTCTGCACATCTTCGATCCTACATCTCATTTTTACTTTTCACTACTTCTCTTTTTACATCTCGATTTAATTTCGTATATACCTTGTGATCTTCCTCCTTTCTCGTTGACATCCATTTCTGATAAGCAGTTTTCTTCTTGTTTACTAACGTTTGCATATTCTCCGACCAGCATTCTTGATTTTTTGTTTCATGTTTGTCTTTATACCCCAAAGCTTCACTTGCAGCCTCATGAATGTACTTTTTAAGTTGTTGCTACTTTCAACCAATATTCTTGACTTGTCTTTTACTTTGCATTCTTTCTAGATGTCCGAGCCATTCTAGTCTACGTTTTTTCCCTACTTTTGTTATTGGAGGGTTACCATACAATTCGTACACTTCTATATTAGTTCGTCTTCTACATTCTCTTTCAACTGTTTTTCCACCAAACATTCTCCGAAGTATCTTTCTTTCCCATACTTCCAATCTGTTCTGTATAATTTTGTTCAGAGTCCATGTCTTGGCAACGTATAGCCTTGTGGGCCCAATTAAAGTTTTGTATACTCTTAATTTTGTATTACATGGCAATTGGCCTTAATTATTTTGTCTATGGCCCCAGCATATCTGTTGGTCTTGGTCAGCCTCAGGTTGATTTTAGTTTTTTCCTTACATGTCTGATCAATACGGGTACCTAATTACATATATTTATCAACCTTCTCGAATTCTACAACAGATCCATCCTCCAACTCTAATTTAAAGAAGCCCCTGGTGCTTATTCCTTTTTTGCTCGAGATTTCCATGTACTTTCATTTATTATTATTAACTTTTAGTCAAAGACTAACCCATAGATTCAACACAAGGGCAAAGGACTTTATTATGGTGATCTCTACACAGAAAACTAAAACCATTGTAATCAGTAAAGAACCAATTAGATGTAAACTGGAAATCGACGGTATCAGCATTGAGCAAGTAATGGAGACAAATTACCTAGGAAATACACTGACTAGCTACGGAGATGTGGAGAAAGAAGTGAAAAATCAAGTACAAAAGGCTAATAAAATAGCAGGTTGCCTTAATAACACGATTTGGCGCAATCCCCACATTAATACCGACGTCAAATCAAGAATTTACAAAGCAGCAATAAGACCAATAATGACATACTCTTCAGAGACAAGACCGGATACCTCAAAACTCAGCAACTACTAGAAACAGCGGAGATGCGTTTACTGAGGAGAATTACAGGAAACACACTGAGGGATCGAATGAGGAGTGAAGAGATCAGAAGAAAATGCAATATACCAGAAATAAATGAGTGGACACTGAACAGAAAAAAGGAATTGAACGAACACATAAATAGAATGGAAGAGACCCGATTAGTCAGAATAGCGAGGGACAAATCACCAAAAGGTAGAAGAAGTATCGGGCGACCACGCAAAAGATGGAGTGATAACCTTCAATAGAGGCATTAATCGACATTGAACAAGCATTTTGCTTAAAAAGAAGAAGAAGAACTTTTAGTTCAATTTTAGAGTTTTTCTGATTATTTTGCTATACTTGCCAGTTCTTTTCTATTTCTTGCAATGAGAACCACATCATCAACGTAAGTTAACTATTGGTGTTCTTTGTAGAAAAAAGTGCCGGACCTATTTATCCCACTAACCCTTACAATTTTTTCTAGAATTCTATTGAATAGCAAGGTAGACCACGGGTCTTGTTGTCATAACACCTTTTTTCACTTCTAAATCTTCTGAGACTGTACCATTTCATTTCGCAGCACAAATGGTTTTTCTAATTGTCATTTTTATTAATCTTACTATTTCTTCTGGCACTTTTTCTGTGTATTCTATCATAGGCAGCTTTGTAATTAATAAAAAGAACTTGCTGACATGTATTCATAGCAATTGATCAGGATTTGTTTTAGCATAATTTTAGCTTTTCTTGCAAAATCCTCACTGGAAAAATTCATAAAGTACTAGAATTTAAAAACCACTTATCTTCTGAAACTTAGTTTAGTTTTTTTTTGTATAGGTCGAAACTATATCACTTGGTTTTCGTTATGCCATTTCTCCCTTAATTTATTTTATCCAAAATAAGCATGGCGAGAATTGTCAAATGGTTCCTGTTTAGTACAATTAAACCTAAAACTAAGATTAATTATATTACAAAAATGAATATTAAACTCTACAGCTTTCTGGGTTGAACTGCTTCGATTGTAACTGTGCTGAGCTTTCGACATCCTCTCCTGAGCCCCCAGACACTGCTCTGTTCACTACAGTAGTGCAGTTACCATTTCCGTAAAATTGAACGGCTACTAAATACTTAGAAGAAACAGAATATTATTAAGGGGCTAATAATCAAAAACTTTTCGTTTTTAAAATGTAAAAATTTATTGTATACAAATTGCCTCCACTACGTTATTCAGTGGATGCACTTGCAAAAACAATCATGATATTGATGTTGTGCATCTTCATCCCTGCCACTGACAACTAAACCCTATTGACATAATATGGACACAAGTTAAAAGATATATTGCTTTACATAATACGATATTTAAATTAAAAGGTGTATAAGCATTGTTGGAAAGTTCCCTATTACATGTGACCAAGGAAAACTATAAAATGGCGATTTAACATATGTTAAAAGAAGAAGAACACGAGAAATTTGGACAAAATCTTGGATGTTGATAATACTGTATCACCGGTAATAATATCAGTAAATTATGACCCATCAAATAAAGATCGTAATTCAGAGACTGTCATGTTTCCTAATCTTGGCGAGTACACTGAATACACTTAATTATGAAAGTACAAAAGGTAAGCTAGAATGGAATAACTCTTCGTCTTTACGAGATTTAATTCCATTTATCTTTCTCATTATTCATTTCATTCAAACAACACAACACCAAAAACACTCTCCATACCAAAGAAAGCACAAAGAAATACACACCCAGAACAACATACCCCTATCCCTTTCATTTTTAAAACTTTCACCCCTCACCACAATCCTTCACTCCAAAACTCCCCTACATATGAATCCCTACAATGATAAAGCACACTCTTTCCTACACATACACAACCAACACTACCACACATACACTCACTGATTACAATAAAGCAACACAACCACCAACCACCAATATACAAAATACACAACCCACAACAACAACCACACAACAACTACCACACACCATCCAAAACTACAGCATCAAAGACATTCCCCCAGACATCTATCAGCAGAGACCATTCTATCGTCTCATCGAAGAAAACAACCTATTCCCAGAATTAGACCCTTTAAAAGTCTTCCCATCCCAAAATGCAGCCTCTACGAACTATCATCCCTCCAGACCTCTGGAATCTCACGGCAAGACACAGGAGACCCCAATATCTCCATTAGTCTAGGGTTCAAATACAAATCTAAAGGCCCATTCAATCCAAAACCTGCTCCAAACCATCGTCAAACCTTCCATCTAATCATTGCTGTCGTCGACAAAAATCTCTCACAAAAAGATAACGAGGATAACCTATACGAAAACAATTTTGCAGTTACCAAAATAGTTTGTATAATTGCCCGCTCTACAAATGGACCCACCTCTTTCGTTAGAGTTTTCATCAACTCTGAAACAAAGTTCGCTAATGCGCTCACGAATAGCATTGTCGTCGAAGGAGAACGATTGAATTGTCAGATCCCTAGATCAAACAATTTCGTTCCTATTCAGATAAAATAGTGTTCGAGATACTGCAAAAGTGGACATCTCAGAAAGGAATTCGTCGAAAAATCCATTATGTGTCATATTGCGGATAACAAAACAGGTCTGCTGCATGTCCTACCGCAGATGTTCTCAAATGTCCAAACTGTAATGACAATCCCCGGCAGTCTCACTAAGATGCCCACACAGAAAAATCCAACCAAAAAACACAAAAACAAACACAACCCGTACACACTCTTAAGCAAATCCCCTCATACAATCTATCCTCGGGCATGAATCCCTAATACACTTCACATCCATGATCTTATTTAACGTCTTCCCTGAAAAGATGAGCGATACCATCCGGTACATAAACTAAATGTCCAATCTAATGTATGGGTATGCCATAATAACATACAAACACCAAAACACCCACACCCCAAACACCAAACAGTGAGCACCCCACACACTCCTTTAAGAGTCGAAATTCAAATCACAAGAACACGGAGAGTTTGGCTATCTGTGGTTTCCCAATCTCATTGCACGATATCTGATCCTAGGTAAGGACATAGCCACAGCTATCCTCCAGGCGATTAGACCAAACAAACAAAAGACCAACAACCTAAAAAGGACCGTTGTTCATAGGAACTTGTACTTAGTAGTGGGCTAGGTCCAACCGGCACACACAAAGGTAGGAAATTTTTCTGACAAATTGCTTTGCAGTGACCACTTCGTCTTTAAGAGCGGCAATATGCCTATATTGACGTTTCCCTTAACAAACCGCCCCTCGAACAGGCAACAGAGCCAACAAAGGGGTAAAAACATTACCGTCCTTCACTCCAGAATTATAATAAATATAGTTATAGACACGAAATCGCCTTGTTTTAATCCCTTTTGTTTCGAAATGTTCTGACTGTTTACCGCCATATCTAATCCTCATCACAACGTTTTTTATTATTATTATTACCAGGTTTATTAACTTATCGTTGTCAGCAATTGTATTATAGAGAAAACCATTAATTAAATATTAACTTATGTTTTACTTCTACTATTACTGGCAAAATATACCTATGTTAACATTTTTGTATACTTGTAGGTCAGTTTGAAAAAGTCGAGGGTACGGCATTCGATTTTAGACACCCCGTTCGTCTGGGTGACGTAATCAACCAGGTTCCCAACTCACCCGGCTTCGATCACAATTTCTGTGTCAATCAGGAAAGTGCTCGGAAAGACGCAGATAATTTAGTCGCAAGCGTCCTTCATCCAGCTACTGGTAGAACTATAGAGGTGTATAGTGATCAGCCCGGAGTGCAGTTTTATACCGGAAACTTTTTGCCCGAAAACAACAGCCTTCCTGGGAAGGATGGTGGGTTTATCAAAAAACACGGAGCGTTTTGTTTGGAGACTCAAATTTATCCTGATTCTGTTAATCAAGTAAGTTAAATGTTTTGACGCTACAGTGACAGTATTTAAGTTTGCGATTTTTCGGTTCAAATTATGATTACGATAATTCTAAAAAATATATTGACGTTTAGGGTAAATAAAGTTTAATTCCAAAATTTCATTAAAATTGATGCCACTTCATCGAAATCGAAGTTAAAACCTTGGGCATTGCACTAAAAGCAAACTGAAAACTATAGAACAAGTTGTCTAGCATAGCTTAATAATTAAGAATTATTCTATGCAAGAATATTTTGTGTGGAATTGAAATATTTAGAATAATATTGAGCTTTTGCATAAATAGCTCACAAGAACTTATTATTTAAAACTTTTTTTAATATTTATTAATAAAATTATTTATTTTTTTAATGTATAAAGTATACTAAATATTATTTTGTTTTAGGAAAACTTTCCGAGTCCTCTGCTATATCCTGGAGAAGTATATGAAACCACAACTAAATTTAGGTTTTCTACAAAAATGTTATAAATAAAGTTTATGAGTTGTAAAATACTAACGATGTCATTTTATCGTTTTAATTAAAGTATGTTGTTGCTATTGGAAAATGGTGGTACTTTTTAACTACTTTTTGTTTATCGCAAAATAATATTTAAATACCTTCTTTGACTTGTTAACAAAATTCTTCTTTGATATGGAGGCGAAATTTAAAAACCAAATAAAATTCATATAAAAAAGTATAGCATTTCTAAACTAATAGCTTCTAATTATGTGCAATATTTGCTGGCCAGACAATCAGAAGTTGGGTTCTAAGAGTGTATCCATTATTTTACCTACCACATAGGGTATTACTATAAGGGGTTGAAAAATGGGGACAGAAATTACGGGGCTAGAGATAGGGCAAGCAAAATAAAACGAATCTTTTGCGAACGGCTACTCATGGCTTATTTGGAGAGCTGGGGTCATGGATAAGTAAATAACAACATGGGATTGAGAGTATAAATCACTTTTTTAGAACAAATTTGCCGGTTTTTCATTCAAATACTCTCCCAAACCTCACTTAAACTGTAACTGCACTATTAACTGCTACATACTAACAAACTTCTCTATTTCCGATAACAAAAAAGAACAATAAGGAAAAACCATTTCGAATTAGATGAAAATTCGGGCCAACTCTGAAGCCAACTGCCTTTGACAGCGGCTCCACTGAGAGTGATGTAATTCTCTTCAAAATTCGTTCGCCCAACTCGATATAAACAAAGCATTTAAACGGGAATATTTCTGTTCGAGCGACGCAAAAGGATCGAAAACACTTTTTCGGTGTTTTAACAGATACCGGGTGATTTCAATACATACAAGATGACTTAAAATAATACAAGTCATAAAGTCGATTACAAAAGTAAATAGAACTGAATATTTACATTTCAACATGGCAGAAAACAGAGTACACAGATCACAAAACACAAGGTTATCCCTTAATAAGACATGGGATATATGGAGAATTAATTTGTTTGTTTTGGTATTTAAAGGAGGTAAGTAAAACATATTTTTGTTGAAATAAAAAATAATTAGAAAAAGTAATAAAAAAAGTAGTGGGAACTATTTTACCCTTGGTCATTAAAAAATGTTTGTTGGTAGGAAATTAATTACCCTTATACAGTTTGTGAAACAATTTATTTAATAAAAAAAATACAAAAATGCATTATGGGTGACAATACTAATTTAGGTCGCAATTACAGTAGTGTGAAATGATTTAAAATATTTTTTTGGGCATAAAGTTACTTGAAAATAACTACATATAATGTTAGTTTGTTTTTCTTCTTTTTTTGTTGAGCAAAATCCGCATTTTGTATAATTTTTTGGTATTGAACATTTGATAAATGTGCTCCTACATTTCTCGGTCTAATTTCGTCTGGAACACTAAGTTTCCCGCTTTTTTATTTTTTAATATCACAGGTCGAGATGCCTTTACTGTAAAGTCACCTCTTCCTTCTTCCTAAAGAGCTCTTTCAAGGCGAAGCCTAAAATCTTTGTGGGCAGTATTTTTTTTGATCACGAATTCTTGTGTATATAATATAGGCACTAATCACACTTGCATCTAAAAGAACAAAGAACAATCTCATCCATGATTTTCTAGACTTCCTACATATGGGATATGATGTCCTAAAGTGGTCAAAGTGATCAACACCTCCCATGTTTAGTGTATAATCTGCGATAACTTTTGGGCACATTACATCTTTCTTTGTGCCATCTCTTTGTGCATATTTTATTATGGTTACCTCACGTAGTTGATTGGCAGGTGTAATAACCGTGACTTTTTTGGTATCCAACTACTTTATTGCTGTTCTAGGGCCACTGCCAAACTATAGAATTCATTCTTTCGGAGTTTTTTTATTTTTGGTTTGCTTTTTGCTTATGAAATCGGGCAAACTTTTGCGATGAGGTTTGACTGTACCTATATCATATAGCCGTTTAGCATATAAATCTTACAACAGCTTGTAACTTGTAAAAAAGTTATTAAAAACAACCAAAGATTTGTGTGGTATATCTTGGCATAAGTTAGTTACAACCCTATATCCCAAGCCATCATTTTCAATGCCTTCAGTTCTTCCATTGTATCTAATAAACTGGTACAGATATCCAGTAATAGCATCACACTTTGCTCAAATTTTATAACCACGCTTAATTGGCTTTTTGGGCATATACTATTTGATAGAACTATGTCCTTTAAATTTCACCATGCATTCATCAATAGAAAATTGACTTCCAGAATTGGCTTATTCTTTGAAAATTTCATTTAGTCTATCTATAAATGGTCTTATCTTTTACAGTATATCAAAGTTAGGTGAACCTCTCTCAGTCAAAGTTAGGATCAATTGATCAATATAAATCTTTGTTTGGTAAAGGGTGCAGTCCTATTAAAATAAAAAACCTAGCAATGCCCTTATTTCTTCTCGGCTAGTGTTTTTGCAATTTTTGCTGCCTTTTTGTACAACATAAATATAAAATCGTTTGAGCAACAATTTGTTCTATTAAATCACAAGGTAAGAATTTCTCAAAATAAAATATTGGTTGGATTTTATGGGTGAAATAAACATTTGACTGTAAAACAGATTCAAAATTTGATATTTCTGGAACATCTATTTTAGAGATGCATTGTCCAGTAAAATTAGTTAGCGCAACCACTGAACTCTGTTCTACCAAGACCCATTGATTCTCTTGTGGGTCATTCTGAGATGTTCTTTCAGTTGTGGAATTTACATCAACGAATGTAGAAGGGACATACATATTCATCAGTTTCTGATGATTATGTTATCAATAACATCTCCATCGGACTTAACGCAAACAGAGGTAGATGGTGATGGTATAAAAATGTCATCGTCATTATCAGAGCCTTCTTCTAAAGCAGCAAGGAGTCAAAAATGCAATTACTCTTTACTTACCAGATTTTTTGTCGATTTACCATATAATTTCCGAAATTGTAATAAAAATCAACTTTTAGCGGCAAGAAATATTATAACCTATCAACATCTAATTGTCGATTGTCAACTAAAAATCAGATCCGAGAATAATTGGCGTATTTATTCATGAAACGAATACTTAATATCACAAAATTCAACATTCTGTGTATTGACAGCGACAATCAAAATTTGACGGCAAAGTAAAGTGAGAAATCTGTTCCCGTTGTCGTATTAAGGGTTATAGAGCATTTAGAAAAGATAGAAAAAGGAAACAGAACATGGAAATAATTACAATACAGAAATAGCAGTTTTTTTTTATTCAAGGAAAATATGTTTGACAAAAAGCAAGATGTGGACAAAATAATCTTTATGCATAAAAAATGTACTTCAAAAAGGTCGGTCATTTTATTAATACTATACACATTATCGTGAAGTGACGTAAATGCAAAGGAATATATTATGGGTAGATTTAGTTACTGTACTTTTTCATTACCGAAAATTCAAAATTTGGCTACGTCTAACGCTTCATGCTTGTTGAGCCGTAGATTGTCGAGGTTGCAGCTACCAGGACAGTTTGGGCTGGTAAATATATGTTCCATGATCTGAATGGCGCCGCATTCAAACATTTTATTTGGTTAATTTTAACTGATGCCACGTCGGTTCTCCATATTGACCTTTTGGAGTTCGCTTCACTGGGCATTTTTTTTAATGAGTGGGTAAGTAGGTGGGCCACCCAGAGCTACATCCAGGAATCTTTTGCGATATTTTAATCTTTTGAATTTGAATATTTGTCTCCGAAAAAGGTTGGGGTCCATAACTTCTCTGTCTTTCTATTGGAGTTTGCTTCATACGGCCTCATGTTAGTCTGCATGTTTCGTTCAGACCGCTATTTTGGTGTGCCTTGATTTAGACAAAATTGGGAAGGTGTACCCTGCCTTCCAATATGGCCGGTCTGGTCCCTTACCTGAGTTTTTTGAGGATATTGTTTCTGATAAGCACTTTCTGATACGTTACTTACAGCCTATATCCTACGTGGATTGGTTTCTCAGTTTGTTTGCAAGGACAACATCCCAATAAGCTCCAGTTTGCTTGGTGCGTGCGTAGATAAAATGAGCTTACTTGCATCTTAGCTGGGTTTGGTTTAAGTAAATCGTTTTTGTAATATTTCAGCATGGTATGAAATGTTTTACCTGTTTTAGTTTGTTTTTCATTTTCTCATAGATTCCTTGTTGCGCAGTGATACCTAGAGCATTTTCATATTCAAAGTTTTGTGTGATTCTTTCTTTCCTTCTAAGATGTGTCCTGTATCTTCACTCTTACCATACACTATACTTCCTCTTAACCAGAATACTTATCCTTTAGATTTATTAAAACGTGTGATACTTCAGCACAATCAAAATTCGTGTATATAAAAAACATATTTATAGATATTAAATTATTTATTATTTTGCTACAGAATAAGCATACATTGACTAACAGATCAGTCTTCGAGTACTTTAATTAACAAAAAATTTATAAATAACACTGTGATGGTACGTGTCACCTGGATTTAAAATCGGCGAAGGGAAGTTTTTCTGAAAAATAAAGTGTTATTAAACTTTTTGATTTCATACAGGTAAAATTGATATCCTCAAAATTATTTTTTTATCAATCTAGAAAGTGTAAATCAATACAAGTGTTTTTATACCTTTGACATTGTTCTGAAGCTATTTTCTTGTGGCATTTTATTACATAGTAATTACTATTTAAATGGAAATAAGCCACAATTAAGGTTAAAGTAGGTTATTATTTATTTTTACAATAAACTTACGTTAACCTTTAATTGCGGCTTATTTCCATTTCAATAGTAATATACCTTTGACGTTCAAATCTTTTTACAATAATTACGTATAATCTGTTGTTAATCCCTAACAGATCTTAACATTGAGATAGATTATAGTTTTATACATATTTACCTCCCAAAGTTATACAAACACGATATTTTGACTTACAATACCTATACCATGAGAATTAGAAATATATCTAGAAATATCTTTTGTACCAAAAAGACGTTTATGTTTTTCTGCTTAATAAAGTAAAAAAGTTATTAGTCTAGTTTAAAAAACAACTATGAGTATTCATGCCTTATATAATTTGAGCTTAGCTTAAATGAAATCACCGAAGACAAAAAAAGACAAAACAAAAGAGATACTGCAGAATTTAAGGAACTTAATCGAGTAATAAGAAAACAGATAAAAGAGGACATTAAAAAACATCAAGAAGACCGTATAGAACAAGTCATAGAGAAAAACCGAAGTCTCAAATGCACCAAACCGAAACTAGGAAGGAAAAACATAATAACCATTAAAAATGAACAAAGACAACTAGAAAAAAGTAAATCTGGTATAGCAAACTCAATTGAAAATCATGAATGTGTGGCTTGTGTGAGTCCATTTCAAATAGGTAAAGAAATAATGAATAAGACTTACTCACAATCAATTTAATTTAACTATCAGACGACCGGTTTCGCTTTCTACAATATGCAAAGCATCTTCAGGTCTCGATACAAAGTTAAATAAATGCTGAAATGATAAAAAACCCATATTAGGGTGTTGTATAATAAAGATAAACAAATTAGATGTTGTAAATTACAATAATTATGCCAATATTACATGTCTGTGGTTTTATTTCAAAATGAGTAAATTGAATAAAAAGGTGTAAAAAGTTTTAAAAGTTTAGACAGACAAGGTAAGACCCACAAATTGTTATAAAACATTTTTATTTGTTTAGAATTGTTACTTGTAATCACAAGGAAAGCTATAGCCTACGAATACTCTCAACTCTAAAAGTTTCCAGACTTTTTGAGTGTCCTTTTACACATAATTTAGAAAAAATTTATAAACAATTTAGAGTATTGCAAAAACATGATAATTGTCAATTCTTCAAGGAAAACGACACCTGAAACGAAAACTTTTACATTTAGCATATTTTAAGAAATTTGAAATTATGTTGTAGGTTAGAGGTATAATGTGCATACTTACATGATTGCTTGCGTCTGGCCAATCTTGAGTTTCAAAACAGAAGGCACCATGTTTGTAATAATGACGTCCATGTTTCCCAACCAATGTATCTGGTTTTGTGTTACCTATAATAAAAAAAATGGAAATTTAGTACTTGCAATTTACAACACTTAATTAACAAAAGCATTCGTGTTCATTGTCTTAAAATTTTTTTTGACTAACTACAGATTTGATCCAATCGCGAATAAGTTTAAGAACCTTAGAATTTTGTAGCTGTACGTACTGTAGTAGGTGGCTGTGGTCTAATCTACTTTGGCAAAATATAAAGAAACTCAGTAACATTATCTTCGTAAACAATCTTTCTAGTCATCTGCTATAAATTATACAGTTTAAAGGCTTGAAATAAACCATATAGAAACAGTTAGTATCTAACTTTACCTTTTGCCTTTTTGGGATCCTCGGGTATGCTGTTTGAGCAGTAGAATTGAACTCCAGGTTGATTGGTGTAAACTTCCAAGGCTCTCCCGCTGGGAGGATGAAACGCTCTCGCTGCAAAAGTACTCTGTTGCTTGGAAGCTTTGTTGATGCAGAAATTGTGATCGTATCCATCATAGCCAGGTATTTTATGGATGACGTCACCAAGAACTTTGGGAATTCTCAAATCGAATACCGTATCAACGACTCTAAGAAGTTTACCTAGAAGATAATAAAATGAAAAGATATGAATATGCGAAATTTTATACCTTTTTTTTTTATATGAAATTGCATTACCTACGGTAAATGACTATGTATAAAAGTTTGAAGAAAATCAGAAGTATTTAATTTGCTAAATAAAGAACTACAATGAATATATACCTGTAGGAATAGAGTCCTTATCGACATCTGTAGTATGATCTGCGTTTATCGACACAACATGCTTGTACAGCTCCTCAGCACCCTTATCATGTCCAGCCAAGTTAAAGTAAGAATGGTTAGTTAAGTTAATAACCGTGGGCTTGCTACTAGTAGCTTTAAAGTCTACCAAAAATTCATTGTCGTTGTTTAATTCGAAAGAAATGCTGGTCAGCACATCTCCAGGGAAACCCTCTTCTTTGTCGACGGATAAATAGCTGAGTATCACCTTCTTTCCATGAACATAATGGTTCCAGTTGACTTTGTCGAATCCTATGAAACCTCCGTGGAGCTGGTGTTTTCCCAGGTTGGCCGAAACGTTGTAGGTATTTTCTCCGATGGTTATTTTGGCATAACCGGTTCTGTTTGCCACTCGGCCGACCGTGGCGCCGAAATACGGATTAAGGTGATTTAAATACCCTTAAAAAGACATATGTTGTCATTCAATAAAGATAAACTTTAAAAATAATAGTAACTCCAATGCATCTACCGTAGACTAGATCTATGGAGTAATGGACATAGTTAACAAATTATGTAGAACAACACTAATTCTCCATTATGATCCATCATGTAGCTAGCGCTTGTTTGTAAAATGTAAGATGATTTACTTATGCACAAATTAGCGCTAGAATTAAGCAAGAAGATTTTTCTGCAAAATTAACAGATTTTAAGGCAGTATTAGCATTTAATTTTTTAAACATAATTAGATGTCTTGTGGAAAATTTACGCGTTTTCATTGTATCTGAAACAGAGATAGTTAAAACATGTCCTTTTTCATAAAAAATAATTGTTAATTTTAGTTAATTACACACATTAATTAGCCTAATGAGCCACACTCTTAAAATTTTCCTAAGAATACTTCACAACAGAATTAGACGCAAATGCGAAGCAGATCTCGATGATACCTAATTTGGTTTTAGAAATGCTATGGGAACCAGGGAGGCACTTTTTGCGCTTAACATCCTATTACAAAATACCGTGACCAAAGAAAAGATGTATTTGCGTGTTTCGTGAACTTCGAAAAGGCATTCAATAAAGTCAAATTATTGTAAAAACTGAAAAATATCGGAATAGATGACAAAAATTTGTACTGGAGTCGTAAAATTTGGAGATAACTACACCGATGAAATCTCCATACAACGAGGAGTCAGACAAGGTTACATTTTGTCGCCAACATTGTTCAATGTTTAGTCGGATCAGTTATTTAAAAAGGCACTTGAGAGACAACCATATGGAATAAAAATCAACGAGGAACTACTTAATGTGAATAGATATGTAGACGATACACTAATTCTGTCAGATAATATTGAAGTTCTCAAAATTCTGCTTGATCGTATTCACGAGGTAGGAGAGGAAATGAGCATTAAAATAAACTCAAACAACACCAAATTTTCAGTGTTTAGCCGTGACCCACATCCCGATGCAAAGCTTTAATTAAACGGGGTCCAAGTTAAGAAACTTCACAAAATGACATATTTTCAAACTGTGATAGCGGATCAACTGGATCCGGATATAGAAAAAAACGTAGAATAGCAATGACTAAAACTACTTTTATGAAAATGAAGTCATTTATTTGCAATAATCATCTCAGTTTAGAACTAAGACAAAGAATGGTTAAGAGCGTAATGGTTAAGATAGAGAACTGCTAAAGACTGTTAAACATCGAAAAATGTCTTATCTGGGACATATAGTAAGGGGAAGTCGATATAAAATATTACAACTGATCCTTAAAGGCAACATAAGAAAGGCTATATAATAAGAATTACACACGCTTGACCACTGTTTCGACCATCAAATCTAACGACTACGCAGAAAATGTTTGTATAACAATAACCTACGTATTAGATTATAAGACCGAAATGTACATGAGAAGCAAGGCCAATATTTATGACTGAGGCATTTACATCGTCCCACCCTAACTATTGTATAATTAAAATGTATTTAAAGTTACTAAAATTAAAGTATGTCGTCGAAATAATGTGAATTATATATATATATATATATATATATATATATATATATATATATATATATATATATATATATATATATATATATATATATATATAAAGTACTCTGCGATTATAAGATAAAAAATACCTATTGATTCATAAAATACTTAACACCTATATCCTCACCTTCCATGTTATCAAACCCCATAACAATATCCTCAACTACCCCGTTCTTCCCCGGCAGTCTTATCGACGTGATCGTGGCTCCATAAGTAATAACCTGAACAGTAACATTATTGGCATTTTTCCAAGTAAATCTTCTCACTGAGGCACTTTTCCCAGTCGTTCTGTCGGTGAACATGCCAAATCCATCTTCCTCAAATTGCACATCGGTTTCTCTATCGGCGCGGCTCATTTTTGCGATCGAAGTGACAGCTATCAACAAGTGGAAATGATATACAAAAAGAATAATACAGCAATGAAAAGCAGATTGTCTTTTTTTGTGATTTTGCTTTAAATACCTGTTTAAACTGTATAAATAAGAGACTTACTTAATAAACCAAATAAATGAATTTTTTAGGTACACAATTCTTATAATTTTTTGTTTTATTATCTTCGGGCTATCTCACAACTGTAAGAATAGTTCGTATATAATAGGAATAGAATGCGTATTCGCATTTGTTTTCAGAATTCTAAATAGGACTGCTTTAAATATTATGGATTAAAAACCTAACATTACGAAAACATAAAAAATAATAATCTTTTTAGCTATATATTTTTTATCTTGAAGTTTGTCTTGGGTAATAGTCACAAAAAATATTTTTTACAATTATACAATATTAAATAATATTTTTAAAATTGAATAAAGTAATTTTATTATTTATATTTTAAACAAATTCTATTATATTCAAATAATTCAATGAAATCGTTTTGTAATGCCCCTTTGTGCGCTTCTTCTCGATCGACGATGATAAATACAATAAAATGTTGAAGTTGTGGAGTAAAAATTATGGTTTTATTGACAGCTACTAATAAGTACACTATAGATGTTTGTTAGGTATATATATATAGTCCCAAGATTCCTAAGAGGAACATAGGGCTTCCACAAAGTGTCTCCAGCGAACTCTATTTCTGGCTAGTGCTTTGATTTCAAGCCAGGATTTTCCCATTTTTCTCCCTTCGGTGTTTGTTAGGTAACTATCTATAATAGACTGCGCTCAAATGAGATCAAATCCCCAATTTATAACTATAAAAGGAGAAAGGTATGCCGAACAACAAAAAAAAGTAAAGAAAATCCTAAGGGCGGAGGATAAGTATATGGATGATTATGATGATGATGATGATGAAGACAAGTAAAAGAAAAATTAAATAAAAAAAAATTACAAAGACTTAAAATACATTAAACTGGGTATCAGGGAAGAACGATAAATGTAAAAGATCAGCAAGGAAACCTGATATTGGACGAAGACCAAATATGTGAAAGGAGGAAAGAATATTTCGAAGAGATGCTAAATGATGGTGTGACTACTGAAGAAAATTACGTTTCTAAACCTCAAATAGTAATAGAATAAATACCAAAGCCCACAGGAGAAGAAATTAAAGAAATAATAAAATATATGAAAAATCAAAAAAGCTCCAGGGAGAGTGGCATTTTGGCAAATAACTTAAAATGTGGACGAAAGGCTTCAATAAATCAACTTAGTGAGCTAATACTAGAAGTATGGGATGCCGAAGAAATGCCTCAAGAATGGACCAAGTCCATTAAAAATCCTATACCAAAAATGATGATAGAACTGAATGTGCAAACTATAGAGGCATATCCTTGTTAGAGGTAATATACAAAGTGTTCGCCATACTAATTAAAAACGATTAGAAATATATGTAGAGAAGAATACCAGGGAGGATTTCAACAAACGTTTAAATTTTTATACTAAAACAAATCCTGATCAATTCTATGAAGATTGGTAAAAATGACAATTAGACAAACCATTTGTGCTGTGAAATGCAAAGGTATAGTCCCAGAAGAATTCGAAGTAAAAAAAGGTATTCACCAAGGAGACCCGTTGTCTACCTTGCTATTCAATATAGTTCTAGAAAAAATTGAAAGGGTTAGTGGTATAAATAGGTTCGGCACTATTTTGCACAAAGAGCACCAATGCTTAGCATATGCTGATTATGTGATTCTCATTCCAAGAAATGGAAAAGAACTGGCAACTATAGCAAAAATACTAATTCGTGAAAGCTCTAAAATGGGACTGATAGTTCATATTAATAAATCCAAGTACATGAAAATCTAGAGCAAAAAGAAATAAACACCAGCGGTTCATTTAAATTGGAGGTGCAGAATGGATCACTTATAGAATTCGAGAAAGTTGATGAATATAATTATGTACTTAGGTACTCTTATTGATCAGATATGTAAGAAAGAAACTGAAATCAACCTGAGATTGACCAAGAGCAGCAGATGTGCTGCAGCCATGAGCAAAATAATGAAGGCCAAAAATATATCTCGTGATAATATAAAAAGAAAAGTATCTCTCTTCAATCCTGACCCCCCAGGGGGAGTTTAGTGATCGACGTGATGTCGTGTATTGTCCGTCTCCAGAGATCTCTGTCTCTGGTCATTTCTTTTAATTCATGCATAGGTCTTTGGCATATTCCTGTAATTTGATCTATCCATCTTGTTGGGGACCTTCCTCGTGATCTTCGGCCTTCTACCTTTCCTTGTATTATGAGCCTTTCCATGTTTTCTGTGTTTGCTCTCATAACATGCCCAAAATATTTTAATTGTTGGAGATGGACTTTACTAGAGAGTCGTTGGCTAACTTTTAGCTCTCTTAAAATTGAATTATTTGTTCTACGGTCGATCCAAGGAATTCGTATCATTCGTCTCCAACAGAACATTTCAGTGGCGTCTTTCTTTCTTCTCTCCGATTGTCTCAGAGTCCAAGATAAAAAGAAAAGTATACAAAACTATAATTAGACCCATGCTATATTCTGCCGAGACATGGACTATGAACAAAACTATACAGAAAAGTTTGGAAGCATAAGAAAGAAAGATACTTCGCAGAATGTTTGGTAGAAAAGTAGTATAGTCAAGAATATTGTTTGGAGAGTACCTGACGGCAAAAAAGAGAGGAAGACCAAGAAAGAAATGGAGAGATGTAGTGATGGAAGATGTCAGATAGATGAGAATCAAAGATTGGACGCTGGTGGCTAAGAATAGAAAACGATGGAAATTATCCATCAAGCAATGGGCCTTAAAGGCCTGTTAACGCTATACATACATACATGCAATGTCCATATCGTTTGAAAAATACCAATTTCCCTTAAATATTACCTGACAATGCGAACGGTATTAGAACACGCATACAGTATTTAAATCCTTTTAAAAATATACTTAATTCTAAAGCTAAAAGTGACCTCAAAATCTCATTCACCATCTTCTCTATCATTTGGGAATTGTAGTCAAAAATGTGGATTTATTGATAAATAACAAATATATCCATTAATTTGAGGTCCAATGTTGTTGCTCCATGGAGCAACGTAATATTCCTATACAATGTGATATGTAAAATCAGGATTTTATTTAAATTTGGCAACTATGTGACAGGTGCTTTATTGTTCCATTTGTTTTACAGGTTAGTTCAATAAAAATCGTAGCCAACGTTGATGCTTACTATTTATAATATTAGCATTAAAATAATATAATATTATATTTTGTAATAAATATAGGATATAATGTAGATATACCTACATTAAATTAATTTAAGAAACATGCAAATAGTTTAAAAATATCGCTATAAGTTTGATTTGATATAATGCTTCAAAAATGCGCTTAGACAGACAATTTTGCCTTTCATTTTTATATTTTGAATGTTTTTAGAAACGAGAATATTTTGCTCAAAAAAATACTATCTCAAAAATACTTACTTTTAACACAATTTTATTGAACAACAACAACCTGCCTAACAAAAACCTGTGAACCAACTAAAAACAAATTTGTTTTTATTTTATTATTACCCCTTTCACTGTATCAGTAGTTGTTTACTTTCTCAGGATGACCACAAAAAAATACATCAATAAAACTAACCTGACTTTAGCGGTTATGTTTTCGTGGACGAGGTTACATATACGTCGTCGACAGTGTTGACAGAGTCGATGTACGGCTGATTACGGTTTTATAGCGACAACTCGATAAAGGAAATTTGTTGTTATAGTGGGAGCGCTGAATGACTGGAGTTTTAGCTGATAATAGCCTGGTGATAAGTAAATTGTTCTGTATTAGATAGTTCTTTTATTTGTTGAACACCTGACTACCACTATACGAGAAGATCGTTGGCGTTTATGTTTCAAGTTACTTATTTTAAGTTTATTGACAAGATAACAAGACTCAGTAGCATTGTCTACAAGCTGTACATTCCCATCCATCCATTTGAGTTGCTTTTGCTGATGTTTTCTAGATTTTTTCTCCATTATCTCCTATTTTTCATAATCTTTCCATTGTTTCTTATATCCAATTTTCTTATATACTCTACATATTTACTATATCATATTTTCGCTCTTTCTATTGATTTTGTTTTATCCCTTAACTGGCAACGTGCAGTCTGTGAGACTGATTTAATTAATAATGTCTTAGTAACTTAATAACGTATACACTTATACTGTATGTAAGACGAGCCTGATTTACCGGATTGCGTATTACCTGATTTTCACAATTATTCTATTAGGTATTTTTAAACCAGCGATCATAGAATGATACGAGGTAAAATAGAAATAAACTTGAAGAAGGAGAGGTATAAGATGATTAAAAATAAGAACCAATCAAAACAATGGATGAAACCATCAGATGTAGATAGTTTTCAGCAATGTATTTCCGACATACTTAGTAGTCCTGAAACAGAAAATAATATAAACGACTTAAATAATAAATTAACAAATGCTTTACTAGAAAGGTAAAACAAATATGTTCTACTATCCTAGAACTCAAAAAAAAGATAAGAGTAACCAAAATACCAGACAACTAATGCAGAAAAGAAGAAAAATGAGAAGCTAGACGGAAACTAAAGCCGACGAACTATAAAAATCAAATGAAGAAATATCCAAAGCTGTTGGACAAGACACTCGAAAATACAAGCAAAAACAAATGGAACATACCATTGAAAACAATAGAAGTATGTAAGTATTGAGAAATAGACTAAGAACGGCGACACGGCAGATAATAAAAATTAAAGATAGAAATGGTCATCTTATAACTAACAGAGAGGAAACCCTTAAAATAGTTGAATACTTCTACAAATTGCTGTACACAAACCAACACAAAGCAAATAGCAGAGAAGATCAAGTACCTGAAATGTCAACAAGGAAAAAGGGCATTGTCAACCAAGGATCAGAACTACTACCGGAAATCACAATAGACGAAATAAAACTAGCCCTAAGAAAAGCTAAGAATAACAAATCTCCAGGCGAAAATTGTGTAGTTACTGATGCGAATCAAAATCGAATCAAATAGGATTAAAAATGAATCTCGACAAAATAAAGATATTAAGCAACAGCCTAGAAAACATCACGATAGATAACATCAATATAGAAAAGGTAGAACAATATATATATATATATATATATATATATATATATATATATATATATATATATATATATTGTTATGGATCAGTTTATCGATCATTAATAGAATAAAGAGTTTTTTATTATTTTAATATACCGCGGGCATATAAGTTAAAATACAACCCTGTACTTATTTGTAATAGTTAGAATAAGAGAAAACATTGTTCCGTGACGGGACCCTAACGAGTTTTTCCGTAAAAGACTGAGTGAATAGTGAAAGGACAATGGAACCCGTATAATTATAGATTTAGGAATAAACTTGTAATTGTATTTTGCGGTGGGCATTTTTCGAAAGTAAATAAGAATTAGATTTAGATAAGAGATAACAAGAATTTGGAAACTTATTTCTGTTGAAAATTCTTGTTCTGTTTTTTTAAATATCATGTTGGAAATTTTCTAAATCGAAAATAAGTGGGAAAGATTGATTACAAAAGAATGGTGTGAATGAGAGAGTTGAGAAGGTTGTCTGGGATTGACTGAAAGATTCATTATGTTACCGGCAGACCAGAAGAGAAGACGTGTTTTCGTGTAGTCAATCTGAGTACCAGTGTTTTCGTTTGTTAGTGAAAAAAGTGGAAGCTGAGAGCAGATCAAAATCGAGAAGATTAATACCTCTTTTGAGTCTGCATAGTCCACGAGATATAATTGAGAAAGAAAGGAGAATTTGTGAATAAAGAGTACCGGTCAAAAGAGGCTTGGGCTTGTGTTTTCGGAGGAGTAGTTTGCTGGTATGCGGTTTGGATCGATGCTGAGAACGGGAAAGATTTTATGGTAGCCGGACATAATCAATCAAGGAAGGAACTGTGGTTTGATCGAGAGGAGATATCATTGGTGTAAAAATAAAGGTCAGTCAAATAATTTGAATGAAAGAAAATTTTAAGATATTCTAAAGATAAAATCAAATATAGGCATACGAACTAAGATTCCAAGTTTCAAAGAGTTATTTTTTTTTTGTGAATAAATTATATTTTTATATGGTCATACTTTTTTAGTAGATATTATTATAAAACAGATCAATAGATAGTTTGTATTTAAAATTAAATTTAGAGTATAGGAGTTTGTTGGGAAAGATAATTGCCCACAAAAGTTATTTATTAATATTCATCGTATTGCTTATTGAAAATAAATAATAATTTGTGTGCATATTTATGTTGTTTTAATGTTAGTTCCGTTTCCTGTTCTATCCCGATTATGAGCAACTAGGAGATACTGAACCCACTAAAAGAAATATATAAAGTAAACTGATTAAAGTAATAATTAACAAAAAAAAGGCACCCTTAATATATATATATATATATATATATATATATATATATATATATATATATATATATATATATATAGGACATGCAATTAAAAACTAAATGGAAAATCAAACCCTAGAAATTAAAAGAACACAATTGTCAGAGGCTGCTTTTGGTAAGTTGATCTTCATTTTAAAAGACAGGAAAATCCCAATACACTTAAAACGAAAAACCTATGACACTTTTATACTACCAGTTGCAACTTATGGATTGGAAACTATGGTAGTAACAAGAAACATGGCAGAACAATTAAGAGTAACTCAACGGGCCATGTTAAATATAAGCCTAAAAGATAAAATTCCTAACACCGAAATACGTCGAAGAACTAAAGTAAACGGCATCATGGGAAAAATAGCGACATTGAGATGGCAATGGGTAGCACATGTAGCAAGACAAGACACCAACAGATGGTCCCAAAAAGTGATATTCTGGAGACCTCGAGAAACAAAAGGAAGCGTGGGAAGACCCCAAAAGAGATGGATAGACGATATAACAGTTGTAGCTGGAAAGTAGTGGATGAGAATTGCAAAAGATAGGGAAGCGTGGAAGCAATTGGAGGGGGCCTATGTGCAACAATGGATAAATGAAGGCTAAAGAGAAAGAAGAAGATAGGTAACTAATGTAATAAAAGTGGATTATTTTATCTATAGTTAAGAAGGTTCTCCTCAAAATCATTATAAAGGTATGAGAGGAATTTGTTTTGAATTCTGAATCTGAATAACAGATCCCGATTTTTTGGTTTTTTTTGGTCCAAGCAGGATATCGTGTTAATATATTTGCTATGGAGAAAACTTCAATATTTTTGTTACATATTGCAGAGCAATTAGGTCAAATACATTGAGGTAGAAAATGATGAGCCAACAAACGCTTAGCTATAGTTCAAATACCAAGAAGTGTGTTAATCAAAAAAACTTTATGTAAATGCTGAAACTATTCAGAATATACGTTCGAGTAAATTTATTGCGTATATTTTTTAAAACACATCGCGTGCAGAAATTGCAGAAATATCTTGCCGCCCTATTTATAATAAATATATTTTGAATAGGTTGTAGCAGTACCATTAATTCCATGCTCTCTGAAATGGTCTAAGAATGTTAGAATGTTATAAATCTCGCAACAATAAATCTTACGTATTCGGTTCCACTGCCTGGTGAGATTTCTATGCATTTAACTTAATGACAATTCCACCAAAGGAGTACAGAAGTTAACCCTTTACCGCATGAGTTTTTGTTTTTTGTCAAAAATAAATTCTCAGATAAGAATTTTATTTTTATTTTTACGTTAAAATATTGAAAAAATCTAGCTACGAGAAAAACTTTATTGACAAAACAAAATTTTTTGTGCCCAATATGGAACATCATGCAACAATGCAATATTAAAGTCAAACTATTTTGAAGCTACAGTATACACTATAAAACTGTATAAACCTGCAAATAACAGTTTATTTCTTTATTAATACACAACGGTATTGTGCATTTTGTGCACAATATATATGTTTTCCCTGTAGAGCCTGGAAATTTGCATCTTGACCTAGTGTTCTCATCCAATAGGGAAAATTATCAAGCCCATCTTTACGGGTATCTTCTTGGGGCATTTCTTTAGTGGGTCCCTTTTTTCGTTTGGTCTCGTACATCTTCTGAATGCTATTACTCGACGCGCGACGGTCTTCCTACTCTGTTCTGTTTAATTCGTTTTCCGGCTTTGCATAGACCATCGGCTATTGCTAGAAAGGGGTAAATCAAATTTCTTCGCTCTTTTGTATTTCTTTTCACTTTTTATAACAAAAATTCTAACGTAGTGTTAAATATCTTTGTAGTATTAAAATCTCAAGAGGCTGTTCAATCAAAGTCTTCAGAAGCTAAGTAACTCAAACCTGTTCAAAGTTTTAGTAGCCCTTAAACAATTTTAATGTCTAAAATGGGAAAGTTGATCTTGAAGGTCTCTGTAAGTGTCAGATTTGTGGAACTAAAAAACATATATAGAAAAGTAATGACGAATTCATATTACATAACAGAGTAATTTGGAAAATCTCGTAGCAACTATTATATAGGAAGAAATGCTGCCATTTTGGAAAGGGTCACATTGTCTGACCTTTATTTAATGTAATTAATTAACTATAAAAACTATTTTTTGAGATTTTTGAGACTTTGAGAAACAGTGAAAACAGTGCCCGGATGTAATGCCAATGAAATAAAAAAATATTCGTAAATAATATTTCTTCGA